CATAATTAATTAAAATCTTCTTCATTTGAAAATGAAGATGATATCTATCTCATTTTAGAAAGCAATCATTTTAATTGTTACAAGTTTCTTATTTTAATTTATATTTATTTTTCTATGTATTTTTATCATTAATTTAGGAGATTGTTTTCCTTATTACTCACATTATCTATACTAAAAATAGGTTATCAATTCACAGTTTTATTCCTTCAAGTTTACAGCAGTAAAAATTAAAAAGTTATTTACAATTGGTGAGGTGTATTTGACCTTCTTGTTGAGCGATGATTGGATCAACTTATCAAGGTATTCCTGTGGCATTTTTCAATTCTTTTAAATTCTCATTGATCTTAATTCCTACTACTTTATTGATAACGGATTAAGTAGGGAAGGTATTTATAGGATTTAAATCTTTCATGCCCTAATGAGCATTGTGTGAGTTCTGTATTACAATATTGATCTTGTATTCTGCATCATTTAGTATTAGGGTTTAGACTCCATATAAGCTTCACTATCCTTTACATTTGTTCTTTATTTTCTTGTACGGTTTTCATCATTTATACAATATATATACATATATCAACCCAAGAAAGAAGCAACAACTTGAAGCTTTCTTTGCTTGCTATTTTTCCATTGAGCATAAACCTTATCATCACCATCATTTGAATTTCTTTTCTTTTTGTTAGTTTATTTCCTATTTAGTCAAAAAAAAAAGAGAAAAGAAGAGGAAGAAAGAAAGGAAACAAAGGAAAGAAATCCCGATCACTCAATACACTAATCGGGAAAGTACTTACCTTTTGTACTCAACTATCCTTCTTTATAGTGGTGCAAGGCCAATCTCTTCAAAGCAAAATTTACTTTTGTTTTTTTACCCAAAGAAAAAATCAACGTGCATCCATTTTTACACCTCTCATTAAGCACAAGACTTCATCATCATTATAGAATCTAGTGTACATCTGGAATAGAATTTAGGGTCATCTTCGGTTTTCCTCCTTAGGGGCAAAACCAAATCCATACATCATTTTCCATAATTATCTCTCTTTGCATTCTCAGTTTCTTTTCTTTAAGCTCTAGTTCTAAGACGCATTTAAGCATCTAATTTGCATTCTAGTGCTTAGCATAACATAAGTGTTACTTTTCATTCGCGTGTTAAACTCTTACTTCTAGTGTTTATGCAATATTTTCTTCCATAGGACTCCTTGCAGTGTTTTAAAACAATACTTGAATACTCTGATCCAAGAAAATCCTATCTGACACTCAACTTGCAAGAGGAAGACTGAGCGGTAAAAGATAAGAGTAGGTGAGCTCATCAAAGAGTAAAAGTCAAGTGAGTGAAACACGGGAGACTTAATAAAAGAGTGCTTATTTTCTTCACTAACCTTTTCTTGTAGGGAAAACTCTTAAAAATATCGAGTGAAAATTATGGCCCCCCCAATGTGAGGTTCTTTATGGAGGCGATGCACACCGAATTAGCACGACTTAGTAAAGTAGTAGCGGATATGAGAAGTGAACAAAGTAAAGCAAGACATGAGACTCCTAACTCAAGACAACCTAGAAACTGAATCTTTGAAGAGGAGATCGAATCCTATAATGGTGACGAAGAGGAGGACTGGGTTGGAATAAGAAAAGATAGGAGAGAAAATAACATCAGCTCCATCAAAATGAAAATACCACCCTTCAAATGAAGGAACGATGTTGAAGCCTCCCTAGAGTGGGAAAGGAAAGTCGAGTTGGTTTTCACTGTCACAACTACAGCGATGAAAAAAAAATCAAGTCAGTAGCTGTGGAATTCACTGACTATGCACTAGTGTAGTAGGATCAACTAACCTTCACTAGACGGACGTAACAGAGAATGATCAGTCTCCACCTGCAAAGAGATGAAGGTCATCATGCGCAAAAAGTTTGTACCCTCTTATTATTATAGAAAAATATATTAAAAATTGTAACGCCGAATGCAGGGCTCTATTGCCATTGAGGACAATTACAAAAAGATGGAGATGGCCATGATTATGACAATAACAAAGAAGAATCCAAAGCAACCATGGCTAGATTCTTAAGAGGTCTTAATAAGGAAATCGCTAAAATTTTGGAGTTGCAACACTATATAGTGTTGGAGGACGTGGTACACATGGCCATGAAAATTGAGAGGCAGCTGAAAAATAAAGAAAAGGGAACATCTCATCCCACTCCCACCTTTAGCTCAAGATGGCTAAGAATGGAGGAAAAGAAGGGAGTCAACATGAAGAGGGAGAAGTCAACCACAACCAACTCTAAAGGTAAGACACCTAACACATCTCAAAAATATAGTATCATTAAATGTTTCTATGATGAAAAATATGAGAAAAAAAAAATATCTTTATTTCT